AGCCAGGCCTGGCGGCCTGACCCTTCCCGCCCAGCTTGGGGCCGAGGAAGCCGAAAGTAGCTTCAGCGAGGCTTAGCGCCCCGGACCGCCGAGGACCGGTCTGATCGTTGCAGAGACCGGGATGTGTGGGGCGAGGCCGTAAGGACTTGACTCACCTTCTCCATCCCCTTTCTACCCAACTCCCCATCCGGAGGGCTCGGGCCTCCAGCTGCCAGCCCCCGATTTCGGGGCAGGGTGTGACGACCCCGATTTCTGTTTGCAAGCACAGCCAGCAGTTCAAGAGCCAGGTCCCAAGGTTGGATCTCTTTTGCCTGGGCTGCTAGCCCGGGTCTCTGAGTCTTGGTGAGTGCTGTGATGTTGCTGGGGTGTCCGGGAGGGCAAAGGGTGCTAACCACCTCTCCTCATCTTTTCTGTTTTACTTGAAAGCTTTGCCTCAAAGTGCAAACCATGCCCTAGGTGCACAGAGCCCGCATGGCTCGGCTCAGCCCAGCATGGCCCAAGCACTGCTGATGCTGGAAGGGCGTCTGCATCTCCCTGCCCAGTGCCCATGGGGCTGTAAGGACAGCCCAGCCCTGGTTGTTTAGTCACCTATTAGCCCGGGTGGCAATGGGGGAGGAGAAGTCCTCTCCAAGCCCAAGAAGGGGGTCTTTGTGGTGATGTAGGGGGATGAGACATTTGGGCCATAGGGCGGCACCTCTCTGAAGGGCCCCTTGTGATCAAAAGGGAGTTAATTCTTTCATTGACATTTTTATATTCATCATGGCCATTCCAGTTGGGGAAGGGGAGAGTCTGACAAGGGGTCTAAGCGGCCTCGCTGGACACAATGCTTGTGTGTGTGTGTGTGTGTGTGTGTGGTTTGTAAAGCACGTGTACAGCTACAGAGGCTGCGGTTAAAGGTCAGATGCTCACAATAATTCCTATTGGAATTAATAGGTAAAAACTTGGGTTGGGGCAGTGGTTCTCAACCTGTGGGTCGCGACCCCTTTGGCGGTCGAACGACCAAGACCATCCTGCCTATCAGATATTTACATGACGATTCATAACAGTAGCAGCATTACAGTGATGAACTGGCAACGAAAATAATTTCATGGTTGGGTCACAACATGTGGAACTGTATTTAAAGGGCCAGAAGGTTGAGAACCACTTGGGGGGGGGTCCCTGGGGGTCCAACAGATACAAGACAGGCACGTGTGGCCTGGCTGTCAGGGGCGGGGGGGGGGGGGGGG